ATTTTTACTTCGATAAACGAAGAATAACATCCAAAAGCCTTCACGGTTCAATCAGAATCTGTGAATTGGTGGTCAATGGGCTAACGCACCCCCGGCACAGGCAAAGACCCCACAAAAGCAGGAGCTGATAAATTGTTTCTGTATTATTTTCTAGAAAGTTATAATTTTCTTATTTTTGTTGTGTAATTCATTATAAGCGACTAAAGTTTTAATGAATTCCATAATGAAAACAACTTTCGATGAAAATAAATTGGCGACCACAGTGGGAGCCAACGGTCTCGCTGTCGAGACCGTCGTATCGCAACTGGTCAAGAGACCGTCGTATCGCAACTGGTCAAGATACCGAAGAATTCGACCAAGCAAAGTTTGAGGAGTATTTGTCATCCTTATCTGCAAAAACTTCCTCACCTCGCAAATGTAGGAAGATTTCTACGAAGGTTTTCAAATTTTCAACTCCGTCGAATGCTACGAGTGAAGACTCTCGTCCGATTGTTGCTGAGGATTTTACTCGCAACACCTCTGCTCACAATGACTCTTCTCCAATTAAGGAGTCATTGAATCAAAGCCTACCGACAATGACGAAGAGGGATCGTCAGAGACAACGTCAGCGCCGCGCTCGTCAAATGGCTAAGTCCTTAGAACAAACCGACGGGGTTCGTTATTATGCGGACTTAGAGTCGAGAAAACATCAAGTGGTCCAGTCGCCTCAACAACAAACCACTCATATCTCTGCTAAACTTACGACGGAAGAATAGACTCTCGTCAAAAGAGCTCATTTAACCCTCAAAGAACCCATACAAAAGCGTCGTGCAAACGCCGCTCGTGTCCATACCCTTCGTCAACAAACACAAGAAGGGAAGAAGGAAATGGTGTCAGAAGAATCACCAAAAAATCACAAAGTTTGGATTCCTAAATCTAAACTTATGCAAAAATCAAATTGGCGGGTCACATCCTTCAACCGCGGCAGTCTCCACTATCGCGGCCAAAGAAAAGTTTCCGAGATCTCCTCTTCAACTCCGTCGACGTCTATGCCTGGTTCGTCTAGTACAACTACATCTGCTACACCGTCAGTAGAGCCTTGTGTAAATCCTGACCTATCAAACTTTAAAATCACAATGGCGGCTCGCTCTGGTCCTTTGCATGAAGATCGAGGCAAAACTCTGGTCAAAGAACGCTTGGGTTCGGTGGACAAATTCCAAGTGATTCTTCAGGCTAGGGGTCATACGCATCCTCCCACCAACCCAAAGCAATTCCAAGTTAGGAAAATCTTGATTTCCACCCGCTTGGGGGTTCGTTATGAAACTCAGGAGCCCGTTAAGACTCCGCGCCCACAATGGGGTGGTTCTAAACGTGCAACTCCTGACATAACCTTGGATTGCTCAAATGTAATAATAAGTTGTCCTGAGAATACCAACAGGGCTTTACATCCTCAGAAGAAGACGTGTTCGCCGAAAGACATCGTTATACCTGGGAGTTCATACCAACAGACGATAGGATTTTCCGGCAATCATACCGATGAGTTGTACTATCAAGCTGGGGGTGTGAATAAATTTCGAAAGAGAATTATCCAAGAAATGAGCTCTTATTGTTCATGTGCACGACTCATTAGAGCAGTACTGTCGGAATGTGACTACTCCAAATGAGAAGTCATCCCGCAAAAAGTCTCAGTGTTCCAGAGGCTTTTCACCGAAATATCGAAGTCTAAGCCAAGACATTTCCGCAAGAGAAGATCAGCTGTCCAAGATGACGAATTCCTTTAAATCACCATCAACATGGTTGATAAAAGAAAGTCTAAACGGCATTCAAGTGACTCAAATCCCGACTTTTCCCCGGGAGGAAAAGTCAATCCAAGAATTGCTCAACGGATGTCTCGACTCCAATTAGGAGCCATCAGACGCAGAGACTACAAGAGAATGCAAGAAGGAATGTCCTCGGAGGATGAATTCTCGGACACTTGTTCTGCAATCGCTTCTGATGATACAATGTCTAGCACGAGGCAAACCAGAGAAGTGCTCACAATCACCCATGATTAGCTTGCTCAAATACTTCAAGAAGCTCTAACCAAACAATGTGAAGAAATTAGAGCTAAGATGAAGACGGAAATGGACTTGGCTATACAACAAATGAGAGAATTGTAAGCTCAACGGCTTTAACCTCCTGAGTCCAGTCAGCGAGCTGATCGAATCCAGCCGTCACACTCAAAATGATGCAGATGATAGTGATCCAGAAGTTGATGAAGTTATTTTTTTTTTGATGTGCCTCCCAATAACAATAACGTTGGGGGTGGTTCAACGGATCCCCCCAACAATAATATTGGGAGTGGTTTAATTACACCTTTTAATAACACTGAGGGTGGCCTAATTATTTCTTCTCAACACCACTCAAAGAAGGATGAAGATAGGGATAAGAAAATGCAAGACCTTGAAAATAAAGTTAATGCTTTGATGTCTGCTCAGGAAGTAAAGAAGACGGGTATTCTGTGTCCCTATCCAAGAGAATGGGATTCAATACCGTACCCGACAAAATTCAATCTGATTAACTTCACACTGTTTGATAGACTTAAAATAATAAAAAGACAAAACTAAAGATTAATAGTAACTACAATATAATTTTATGTGATAAAAGCAATCACATAAGCATGCAAAAATACTAAAAATTTTGCATGAAAATTCATTCTAAAAATTCCTAATTTTACTCAAAAAGTAAGTTATAGTATAAAATGTTCAAAAAATATTATAATTCATTCTAAAAATTCCTAATTTTACTCAAAAAGTAAGTTATAGTATAAAATGTTCAAAAAATATTATCATTTATTCTTTTTATTTTCTGCTTTAATTGAGTCGAGATCAATCTTTCTCCACATTTAACTTTTGCTTGGGCAATTTTAGAGTAATGTCTTCATCATCTATATCAATTGTGATATCAGGTTGGAGTTGAATTTCTTGAAATTAATATCTTCAAATAATAAAGGCCAACACCAAAATCACCTAAATTATCTTCCCCCCCCCCCCCCCCGCATACGCCCCGCCCCCCCCCGCCCCGCCCAAAAAAAAAACCATAAGCCTAATCCATAAAATATGTTTGTACATAATGAAGAACAATAGACAATGTCAAGAGACAAAAAAGAAAAAAGAATGAATTGAATAAGAATTGCTAGGTTTGTACATGATAAAGAGCAAAAGATAAGATAAGAGTCCGGAAATATATTAGGATACACTTGGATCAATTAAATTATATTATTACTCATAATTGATATGCATAAGAGACAAAATGTGTTGACAAGCTTAAACTATAAAACAGACTGTATGGGCCCTCTAACATAATTTTTAATGCAAGCAACCCCCAAGATTAATTTTGAAAATCTCTTGATTTTGTGGAAGAGTTTGAGTGTAAAGAACAAATGTTAAATTATCTAATCTGATTAAAGTAGGATCATATAAGTTAACCACATACATAAAATTTATTTTAACAAAAACTCATATATAAGTATTATAATTGGCATTAAGATCAAAGAACGTGTGAGATTCTCTTTGACTTTTATACAAACAATATCTATTTAGATAATAATGGTATAATTAAACTTTGTGATCTAAAAAGAAATCAAACATACAATATAATTAATTACTTTAAAATAATCTAATCTAATCTAATAAGAAAAAATAGATAAAAGTACTGTAAAAAGTGTTGCAATTTTATAATTAATAATTCTTAAACAATCTAATCTATTCTAATAAGAAGAAAATAACAAAGACACATACTTGTTGAAGAAGATAAATGTACTGTGAAAGCTATTGTAATTTCTTGATCTGAAAAAGATCAGATATACAATATAATTAATTGCTTTAAAATAATCTAATTCAATCTAATAGCAAAGGCAGATGCCTGTAAAAGGAGATAAAAGTACTATAGAAATTATTGTAATTTCTTGGCTTATATATATATTGGTATATGATGTTGCATATGAGAGGATAACAATTATAAATAAAGTTCTATTTAAATAATAATAGTATAATTAAATTTTGAAACTAACTATGCAGTACTTTGAACTACTTTAATTTTAGTCGGTGAGAGATCGTCACTTTGTGTGTAATTATTAATCATATAGCATGTGAATAATTATTTAATTTTAGTCGGTGAGAGATCGTCACTTTGTGTGTAATTATTAATCATATAGCATGTGAATAATTATTTGCAGATTTGCATTATTATTCATGTATAACATGTGAGTAATTGTTTGCAGTTTGATCATTGATCACATATAAGAGCGAGGGAGTAAATTTGGTATTTAATAAATCGTCTATTTAACCTAAGCGTATTGTGAACTACTTGAATTTTAGTTGGTGAGAGATCGTCATGTTGTGTGTAATTATTAATCATATAACATGTGAATAATTGTTCTATTTTAGTTGGTGAGAGATCGTCATGTTGTGTGTAATTATTAATCATATAACATGTGAATAATTGTTCTCACTTTAACATTATTAATCATGTAGCACATGAATAATTATTTGCAATTTGATCATTGATCACATATTAGAGCGAGGGGATAAATTTGGTATTTAATAAATCGTCTAATTTACTTAAGTTGCTCTTTCATTTATGTTTACATTTCAATTTAAACCATATCTTTATCTTCATACTATGTATATCCAACAAGGATTCATCAATTTATCAAGTTACTCTTACTTAATGGATTAGTATTTAAATTCCAATGGTATTTTTGTCTACTAAAAGATTTTTCCGAACTCGTGTTTTCAAAGTGAGTATGATATGATAATAGTGTCATGGGTCCCAATTTTAAGGAAACTCATTTCCTCCCAAAAGTTATGAAATGAGCTTGAAAAGATGAAACTGAATCCCACAACATATTTCTCATGAGAAATCTCTCAAACTTGGGTTTCTAAAAAATGAACCAAGCAGCCCCTAAAAGTAATAACCCATTATTCTATCTAAAGGAACATAAGCACAGGATGTCCAATCAAAGAAACAAAAAAAAAACATAAAAAATGGGGTTCGGGAGCCAGGGTTTCCACCTAACTTGGTTAAACTGTCAAGTTACAACAGTAAACATTATGCTATAGAAAAGACCTTTTGCGGTCAAAAAATAAAAACAAAAACCTTAACAGAATCAATGAACAAACTCCCCATTATTGAGGAGAATGTCCCTTGAAAATCAAGTCACACAGAGGGCTAGCTTTGAAAACTACAAGCATAACCTTACAGATTGGCCCTCTCCTTCATCACTCTTCACCTGAGGATGCTTTCCTTCTCTATCTACAACACACCTCTTATAGGGCACAAACCCCCTCAATGACTTCTCCGATCCATCCCTCCTACCATTGAGAGCTGTAGCGTCCTTGAATATGTCGTCGCTCTTATTTACATTTCGATCTCCTTCAGCAATTGAATCAGTATTCGAACCAGTCCGAGAGGTTTCGTTCTTCAGTGCTTCAGTATGATTGCTTAGGAATTGTCTCGAACTTGAATTTTGTTGATGAAGAAATGGAAGCGGTAATTTTCCATACAATGCCCACCAAGATTTCATGGAGTCTCCAAAATTAGAAGGAAATGGATAAAACTGTCCGGGTAGAAGAGGTAGAATCGGAGCGCTTAAATCTATACACAGATTCTTTTCTTGCTTCTCAATATCGACAGCAGGCAGCGACTCAGAATTTGTTACATTATTCACAATGCTGGAAGGCGACGGATTTTGTGAATCCGCCACCAGAACAGTTTTCCCAAATAGCTTGAGGTAAGGAACTGGTGCATCCCTTGATGAAACTTCCTTTGATGAAGCATGGCCTCCAAAGTGAAGGTCTA